CTTTTCTAAGCGTCGGAGTGGGCCTTTTTTCAAAAGTACACGTTTAAGGTGGGTACCAGCAGAAAGAGTTGGCGTTGGGGGGCGGGGGGGGCGGGGGGGCCCTCATAGCCGTACTCGCAGCCGTGCAACCGTAGTCGTTAGACCGTTGACCTCGTTTGGCGTTGGGGCGGGGGCGTACTCTTATGTTTTGCATGCCCTAGTTGTCAGACCATTGACCAGGCGTCCTCGAGAGGAGGGTTCATTTTTCCCGCAGGACTGATGGCCAATCGTTCATTTTCCTACTTCGCCAAAGGTGGCTCAAGAATGCTGCGGGGGGGGGGGAGTTGTCGTTCTACGAGGCACACTGGTCGTAAATAGTGTTTCGACCGAAGATGGTGCACATCCCTAAAAAGCCGGTGTTTGCCGGCCAGGACGGCATGGCACCAAGGGATGAACCGCCTTGGTGCGCTCGACACACCGCATGAATGATGTAAACAGCAACCAATACTGCATTGTCCACGTCTCTGTTCAACCACCCTCCCCACACGCGATGTATACAGGGACCGATACTGCGTTGTTTTCATGTCTGTGTTGAGCATTCAACCACCCTCCCCACACGCGATGGATTTCTGCTTTTCTGTGTTGCGTGTCGGGTCGGGTTGTTCTGTTGTGTTTTTTTCGGCAGCGCAAGGAAACGGCGAGTTTGTTTGCCGGACCCCTGCTGGCGCTTCTGCTGAATAACTTAGGGTGAGAAGTAGGCCCACCGGAACAACATCATCAGTGAAGGACCGCGTAAGCGGTTCAGTGGTGCGAAACGATGTGTTGTTGAGTGTGTGTTCGAACAGTCGTGTGCAAGATGTGTGTTTTGAGCGTGTGTTTTAAAACGGTCGTGCAAGATGTGTGTTAATTTGTGTGTGTGATGTGTGTTACAGCGGTGCAATGTGATGTGTAATGTTTTCGCCGCCACGATGCTGTTTTTCTTCATCTTGCGTCACCCCTTGATGTCATCGCTGTGCTGCCATGTGCCCACTCCGGAGAGGCAGCCTTATGTACAAGTACGGATTCATCATCTCTAGGAAGTATGCAAATTCACGTGTGTGTGCGCATGTGTTTGCGTGTTTTGCGTGCGATACGGTTTTCGTGTGGCCAGGAGATTTACGGGAGAAGAGGAGGCCAGTTCCGACCAAATCCCGACAAGAAAAAAGGGATCTGTACAGGTGCGGCTAAAAGAGCGTTTGATATACAGTCGTGGCTCCGATATAAGAGGGTGGTGTGACAAAGGCCCTGGACCCTCTTATATCGCAGTCCCCTCTTCTACCGAATTAAGAGAGTACTCCACTATAATATAGAGGGTCGAAGTCGTGACCCTCTTATATCGGAGCCCCCTCTTGTAAGGTACCCTTTCATACCGGATCCACCACTGTACAACGGTACAGCCGCGGCTCCGATATGTGAGGGTGGTGTGACAAAAAAAAAAGAAAAAAAGTCCCTCGACCCGCGTACATCGGAGCCACGAGGCGACTCGACTGCCTTGTCGTTGTGGTCGTCGTGGTGATGGTGTTTGCGGTGGCTGCTTTGTTTGTCGTGGTGTTGTTGTTGTTGGCGTTGGTGGTGGCGGTGATGGTGTCGGTGTTCACCGCTGTGGTCGCTCTATGTTTGTGCCATCGCTGCTGCCGTCCTTGTCGTAGGCGTGTTTGTTGTTGCCGGTGGGCCATCTTTGTCGCAGCTGTTGCTGCTGCTGCTGCTGCTGCTGCTGCTTTTTGTTGCGCCGTACTCCCCCGTCGCCATGCTCAACCACGCCCCCACCTGCCGGCGCGCTCGAACGTCTCAACGGCACTCCAACGGCACCCTGCGGCGGCGTCTCATCAGGTATACTCCGGGGAGGTAGATACCGTGGGAGGCATTTTGGCGGCCCTGAACGTGACGGAGTGGGCGTGGCCCCCATACGCCAGCAACATTGTGCTGGAGCTGTGGCGAAGGACTGAAGCTGAGGCGCTCCCGAGGGTGAGCGTAAGCGAGATATCCGGATGGTCGTTGTTTTGTTGTGCTTGTTGCGGCGTTCATCATGGCGGGTGTTGCTGGAGTTTGTGGTGGTGGTGGTGGTGGTGGTGGTGGTGGCGGCGGCGGCGATTTCCCGGTTATGCGTGCGGCAGCTGGTTCACAAAGTGCCGATTGATGGCGGGTGTTGCTGGAGTTTGTGGTGGTGGTTGCGGCGGTTTTCTGTTTTTCGTGCTGCAGCTATCATAGTCCATTCACGTAGAGCATGGTCAACGGAGAGAAGGTGTAGATTGCGCACAGGAAGAGAATTGGGCTGGGTGTGCGTGCGCGTTGCCCGATTGTTTTTCATACAATATCCCGTGAGAGGTTTGATGTCCTTCCGTCTCTTCACGCGCCGCTGTGTAGGTTCCGCTCGTTGCTGCCATTATTTTCCACTCATGACCCCGGGTTTCCGGCAAATAACGAGGCTTCAATTCGACCGTTACATCAACTTCCTACATCGATTTCGGGGTTTCCGAAAAATAACGAGACTACAATTGACCGTTTCATTACGAAAGAAACAGGTTATTATTTTCTACTTTCGTAAATAATTTGCTCGACCAAGAAACTTTCCTTTCATTTTTTTATCGCTCACGGCTGCTCCTGATTGGTTGTCGCCCAGGTGGAGGGGGGACAGATTGGGGCGGAGAAGTTCGTGAGGATGCTCTACAACGGCAGAGTGGTGAAGCCCAGCTTTTGTCAGCGGGAGGAGTGCCCGCTGCGAACTTACAGAAGTCACATCATGCAGTTCTTGGTGCCGGAGGACCTTGAGGTACGCCTGTCATCGTCGACGTTTTTTTTTTCGTTTTCTTACAAGTAACGCAACAAATCGATCTCTTCTCCCGCAGATAAGAGTTCGTGGTAGATTAGATCAGATTAGCAATGAATGCATACTGTTGCTCTGGTTGGCTGGATGTGGACGTTGCCATTGTCGTCGTTGTGGTTGTTGCTGTGCTGTGATTGGATGTGGGCGTGATCTTATTTGTTGTCGGTAAAATACGTGAGGAAGCGCTTGAAAAGGCATCAAATCAGCCTCTTACGTTCGCTTGGCGGCCATTTTTTACCTGGACTTGCGTGGTGGCGCCCGATGCCGTTATGTTCTGCACGGCTGCACTGTACACTCAGGAACGCCACGTTTACGCTCTGAGCACATGAAAACCGTGTGCACATCACAAAAAAAGTGTGTGCACGTCAAGAGAAAGCGTGTGCGACCTATCCCCCCCCCCCCGCCCCCCCCCACAGAATCTAAGGAAAGAAACCGAGGATAAGGAGGGTCTATCCGTACAAACGGAATGTTGGAAAGAAGGAATAGGGTTCAAAGATTACCTACATGGACCAATGGATGCAGGGACAAAGCTTAAGGTCAAATTCAGGACCGGGGACATAGGCCTTCGAGAACGTCGAAGACATAGGACGGTAGACGACGAAGAAGACAAGTTCAAATGTGATTGCGGCTTCGAATGCGAAGACCGTGTTCATGTAGTCGCGGAATGTCCGTGGTACGAAGAGGAGAGGGAAGTGTACATGACTGAGCTTGGAAAAATACAAGGGACGTACAGGGAGATGTTTGAGGCATGGAATAGAGAGGAGAGGACGGTAGCTGTACTGGGGAGTAGGAAGTGGTTTGAAAAGGCGGGAAGGGATATCGTTAGGATAGAGAGACTAGGGAAGACATTTTCGAGCCAAAGTAGGAAGGAACGATTGGCCATCGGTGATCGGTCCTGTGGGAACAATGCTCCGTCCTCTCGAGGACGCGTGGTGAATGGTCTAACCGCTAAGGCATGCAAAACATTAAGAGTACGCCCCCACCCCCCCCTCCCCACCCACCCACCCACCCCTACCAGGAAGCTTGCAAGCCTCACCTTCACCCTGAGGGACCTCCCTCGCAACCCCCCGAAGGAGGAAAACGACCACCCCACTTAGAGCGACAAGCGAAAAGGTGCATGAGCACACGTTGGGACAACGGCCGCAAAAAGAGCGAGGCCTTTCGATAGCGCCTCCGCCGGCGTTAGGAGAGACAGCCGACGTGATGGCGCGGCAGTGGTGGTGGAACCAACGAGATGCACGCGGCAGTGGTAGACCCGCCCGTTTTTTTCGACAAGGAGGGAATGCGGTGGTCGCTGTTCAGGGCAGGTCGCTATGTAGCGGCTGTGGGTAGGTGCAGTGGTGCCTCGCGCGATTTTGTGACGGGCACGTCGCTCTAGGCTGGCGGCCGCTAAACCGGGCTCACCACCCTGCCGACCGGGAAACATCCTCCTGGAGGCGGACTGGCAGGTTTGGCTTCCTGAAGACATGCCGCGAGGCTCACACGGTTTCCGAGAAATTTCCTGAAAAGTTCCATCCAATTTCAAGGCTGGGGGCCACCCCGCCTCCGTTCTCAAGACGGCGCGTGCGGGGTGTGGTTATTTATGCGTTGGTGCGAAGCCGCAGCGCTCCACGGGCGACGTTTGTTGGAGGCGGCCTGGCGGAGAAACGCCTTGCGATAGGTTCCGGTTCATTGCGGCGGCAGATCTTTGTTTTGTTCTTCGTTGGGGAGGCGGTAAGATTTTATCGGTTTTCCTTGCCAAGTGTAATGTAAATTGGAGGATTTTTGTGACCGAGTATGTTGTGCGACCCCGGTGTGGTATGTCAAGCATCTACCGACAGGTTGTAGATCGGTGCCCACACCAGGTGCGATGAAAACACGCACATACGCCAGTTGCTTTTTCGTTTTTTGTTATGAAGTATATTTTTCTTTGTTGTTGAACTATTATAGATGCCATCGGTGAGTGGTCCACGTTTGAGTGAGATTTTGGCAGGACCTCCGACACAGGACCGCGAGGTTGCCTTTTTTTCGATAATTCTCCCGGCAGGGCTATAGGGAGAACCCCCCCCTCCCTTTTACAGGGACCTCTACCGAATGCTTTCCGCAAGATCTAACGCAAGATCGCATGA